CACACACACACACACACACACACACACACACACACACACACACACACACTGCACATACTCTGACGCACCCACGCAAGACGTATACACACGGTGATAGCGCAAAGCTATACGCGGCGTATACCTTGCTATATACAAATATACAGAGGCGCGTTGCAAAACCTCACAACCCGCCATGCAGCACGGCCAAGCCGCCAGCACTGCCAACCAGCCAGCACTGCCAATCCGATGACGCAAAAACGGCCTGATGATAAAAGCTGCGCTAAAGAAACGAGTTCTCAATTCGTTCTTATAATCACCGGTCGATTCGCGCTGCCACGTGGTGGTGGGGGAGTCCGGCGTAGCGAGGCAGCGCTAGCACTACGAACAAGATACGTCAGCTAGGAACGAGCACCCAACCCGCTACTGCCGCCGCTGCCGCTGCCGCTGCCGCTGCCGCTGCTGCGTGCTACCGTGCATACGCATTTCAATTAATAGCGTCAAGGCAATCGCGGCTTCGCGTGCAGCACAGAGAGCAATATCGTCTGTGTGCGCGTGTGTGTGTGCGTGTGTGTGCGTGTGTGTGTGTGTGTGTGTGTGTGTGTGTGTGTGTCTGCTGTGTGTGTGTTTCTGTGATGGTGATGTGTCGTGCCGCGCGCGTTGGTGGTAAATATAAATGGGTGTATCAAATATTTAAAAATTAAAATATAAAAAAAAATTAATATGGAAATTTTATTAATTAAAAAATTGTGTAATTTTTAATAGATATATTAATTTTAATTACTTTATAATATATAATAATTAATTATGAATTAATAACTTTTTTAATTAAATAAATTTTTTTTTTTTTAATTTCGTGTGATCGTGTGTTGTGTGTGCTGGTGTGTAGATGCGTGGTGCGTGGTGTGGCTTGTGTTCAGTAATAACAATTAAACATGATTAATTTTTTAAATTTGCCGCGCGCGTTTGTTGTTACTTTTGAAATTGTATAACAAATAAGTTTTAAGTTCTTAATATTATTTACTTTACCTTTAAAAATAAATCATCATCAACATAAATTTTTTACACATGGTTCAGTCTTACGCGGTGTGCAGTGTGACATTGAAGCTGCTGTTGCTTGTGACTTTAGCAAAACTGCTTAGTATTAAACTCTAGACTTACTGGTTGGTCTGCCTGCGGCCCTGTTTGCATTACTACTTACTGCTGCGTACTGCCTGCTGACTTGCCTGCTTGTGCTGCTGCATATACTCACAATGCTGACCCTACTACTGCTGCTGCCTTGCTACTGGCTGCTGCTGCTATTACTGCTGCTGGCTACTGCTGCTAGCTTAGCATATAAGCTGTTGCTTATACTTTTACTTAATCTTAATACTGCCATACACATAATCTTATAGTTTCCTTTAACTTGTCATTTTATTTTTCATTGCTTGCTTACTTGCTGCTGCTGCCTACTGGCTGCTGCTGCCTACTGCTGCTGCTTGCCCTACTGCTTCTACTACTGCGGCTGCTTGCTGCCTGCTGCCAGAATCTGTTTTATATTTTCTATTTATCATTCTTAGTATAGCTGTTCATTGTGTTTTACTATGCGCCTGCGGATGCTGGTCCTGCACGGTCTGCTGCTTAAAATAATCTTTCTATAAAAAACAAACTGTCTATAGCTGCTGCTGTCTTAGAATAACTACTGCCTGCTGCTGGCTGCCTACTGCTACCTTTTTTTTTCTTTTACTTTTGTTGTCTTTATTTTCTTTTACATGTGTCTTTACACTATATTCTAGACCCTTAATCTGCTTCTCTTAATAGCATGCTACTTTTGCTGCATGCCGCTGCCTGCTGCTGCACTGCTGAGTTCTTCTGACTGTCTGCTACTGCTGCATTTTTTGAACTGTCATTGGCTGACTTGAGCTCAATGTTATATTTAACTGCTGACTAACTTACAAACTATTACTGGTTAGGTGGGGGGTGGTGCGTTATAGCTTAAGTTATGTTGTATTTTAAGGAGAGTATAGGTTTTTATTTTTATAAGTGGTGTTGCTGCTGCCGCTCTTTAATATCTTTTAACTTGTCTAGTTATAAATAAGCCATCTCTCGTGAAGCTCTAGCAGACATCACCAGCTCTACCGCACCCCGGCCCCACACGCGATTCAATGCAGATATACAGTGGTAACCGGACAGCTAGGTCACTCAACAACAGATAACGACGACCAAATTATGGCTGTCTGTAAACGTAACGTAAAAACCAATTGAGGAAATCATAATATGACGTCATTCGGCATTTGATGGACGTCGATTCAGTTGCAGGCTGTAATTGACGAGACGAATGAAACTGTAGCGATGCTATTCGGGTGCTGCTGCTGCTGCTGCCCTGCCCTGCTGCTGCCTACATGCTGCTTGCTGCTGCTGCTGGCTGACTGAAAGCTGCATTGTCTCGGCGGTGGCAATTTGAGTCGATGCGCTTATCGCTCGTGAATATTATGGGCAGCGAGCCGTGCATGCATACACAGCGCAGCAATGCTTATATACAGCACACACCCAACACGACACACACACACACACAAATATTCACACAACAAACACAAAACACACACACACACACACACACAACACACATCCACAAACTAACACATCAACACACACACACACACACACATCACATAACAAACACATAAAAACACAACTCACAACACACACACACACGACGCAGCATCAACACACACACAAACAACTCAACCACACACACACAACATCTAACAACATCACAATCAAGCACACACACACACAACACGTCATAACACACACACACACACACCTACACAGCACACACAACAAACACACAACACACACACACACACACCACACACACGCTCCACACACACACACACACACACACCCATGCACACACACACGCACACAACACACACACACACAACATACACACACACGCACGCACACACGACACAGCACACACACACACACACACACCACAGCACCACACACAACACACACACACATCACACACACATCAACACAAGCCCACACACATACGAGTCGTGTCGAGTAGCAGGAAACGAGCGTACACCCGTCGTTCCGCCGCCGCCGCCGTGAATTTGTTTTTATAATGTAAGCTGTAGCGCCGCATACGGTATAGATGACAGTTAATCATTGTCCAATTTTCTAGCCAATCGAGCCGGCAATGTTATTTCAATTAATTTGGCCGCTGGATGCTGGCGCGTAGAAACGATGGAAGATTGTCGATTGAAATGGAGAGTAGCACGCCTATTGATGGTGATGATGAATCGACAATAATTAAGCAGCGAGCTTACAACAGAATGAATTACTGGCCGCGTGCGTGACATACACACGCGTATTACGAACGTTTACATGCACGCACAATATGCACACACCACACACTCACACACACACACACACACACACAGCACACACACACACACACACATCACACACACACACGCGCCGCACGCTGGCGCACGCAGGCACGCATACGCCTCACACACACGCACACACACTCGCCGCGCACACCACGTACAACGCACACACGACACACACACACACACACACCACACAACACACACACACAGACATCACACACACCACACACACACACACACACACACACACACGCACACGCCACACACACCACGCACACACACACAACGCACGCGACACACAACACACACAGCACACAACCACGCAACACACACACAACACACTACACACACACACACACACACACACACACACACACACACACACACGCACTCTACAGGCACCATCTCGGCCGCGCGGGAAATGCACGCGCGCAGGCGCTCACCACGCGCACTCGTTCTCCCTCGCTAACCCGCTGCAGCCCCTCCACAGCGCCGGACTATCTATTCAATTAAGCTGTAGAGTGTATACGAAAGTAATCCAGACTAGCAAACTTCGGAGCGCATCAATCTCGGCGAACTGCTCAGCGAACACAGCCCGCACGTCTGTGCCTGCTACGCAGTCTTTCCTGTATACACTTTACCAAAACAGAAGTCGCGCCCACTTGAACTCCATCGCTCTCTCTCTCTCTCTCTCTCTCTCTCTCTCTCTCTCCTCTCTTCTCTCTTCCTCTTCATCTACTCTCTCTCTCTCTCTCTCTCTCTCTCTCCTCCGCTCTCTCTCTTCTCTCTCTCTCTCTCGCTCTCTCTCTCTTCCTCTCTTTCTCTCTTCTCTCTCTCTCTTTGCTTTCTCTTTCTCTCTCTCTCTCTTCTTTTTCTTCTCTTTCTCGTCTCGGCCTCGCTCTCCTCCTCTCCTCCTCTCTCTCTCTCTCTCTCTCTCTCTCTCTCTCTACAGTATCATAGCTACTAGCCAGGCAGTGATAATGTTAGTAGTTATAGTTACACACTGATAGACACATCCCGCGCTGCACTGTATCATATATATTCAATATATATATAGTCTAATATTATCGATTATATTCACCTATATTATAATATATTGTAATCAATTATAATTAATTATTAATAGACTTTTGATGTAACGTAATGTAATATAATATAATGTAACGTAACGTAACATAACATTACATTACACAATATATCATTATCGCAAAAATAACATAATGTAATAATTGTAACAGTATCATCTTGGTATCATACATTATCATATAACGTTAATATAATATTATTAGTAATTTAATATTATTTAGTAGTATAATGTAAATGAATGGAATCTCATCTATTATGTTATTATAGCCTACGTAAGCGTAACACGACTTAACATAATGTAATGGGATAAAATATAATATATATAATAAAGTATATAATAATATAAGTCATTATAAAATAAACTAAAATAATATAATGAAATTAATATTAATAAATATAATATACATATATTCAATGCTAATATAATTAATATAATATAATATAATATAATTAATATAATATAAATATATAATATAATAACATAATATAACTATAATATAATAATCAACTATAATATAATATAACTGATAATATTACACTAACTATAAATATAACTATATAAAATAATATAAACATCTAATCTCTATTATCTCGCATTATTGATACACAAACTTTAACAATTCTGCATCATAGGCAAACTTGACTTAATTCCATGATTGCTACATCGACATTACTATAATGCCATCTGGTGCATTTATAACAGGCGTATCAAATATCATGTACATGCAATTATAGCTCTAATCCGCCTGCTCATACGAAATGATCCGAACGATAATTTAAAAAATAGTAAGTAACCTGGGATATAAATATGTATCACAAATAATCAAAATAATTATACATTATAATATCTTTCACTATCATATATATACATGGCGGCGCGGGCACGGTGATGTGTGCCGTGTACTGTGCTTTGTATGTGTGTGTGTGTGTGTTGTGTGTGGTGTGCGCGGGCGCGGCGCGGCGTGTTGGTGGGTGTGTGTTGTGGTGTGTGTGTTGTGTGTGTGGTGTGTGTCTGTGTGTGATGTGTGTGGTGTTGTTGGTGTTGTTGTGTGTGTGTGTGTGTGTCTGCTGTGGGTGTTGTGTGTCGTCGTGCGCGGCGTGTGTGGTGTGTGTGTTGTTGTTGTGTGTGTGTGTGTGTGTGATGTGTGGTGTGGGCGGCACGGTACATCTTCAACAGCTAGCAAAACAGTTTATACGCGCACCTCGATGTACAGAAACATAAGCTATTGCGACCAGCTGATATTGTTATCCGTATACACGGCAGCTGATGTCTTACATAAATAAATCGATAAAACGAAAAACGTATATACATTACACTATGTGTTAATGATTATATATATACTACACTTCCATAGTTATAATGTTACTATATATATAACATTCTATGTGTATATGTTATATATATACTATATACACTATTCACATTATACCCATCATAAGATATACATAATATATATATATACTCAATATATTTATTTATATATGTAATAAACTATATATTATATATAATTTATAGAAGAGAGAGGAAGAGAGTAGACACAGAAAGAAGAGAGAGAGAGAGAGAGACGAGAGAGAGAGAGGAAAGGAGCGAGAGGAAGGAAGAGGGGGAGAGGAGAGCGATAGAGAGAGAGAGAGGAAGACAGCAGGAGAGAGAGAGAGAGAGAGAGAGAGAGAGAGAGAGAGAGAGAGAGAGAGAGAGAGAGAGTGTGAGTGCGACAGATATAAGGGAGAGATGCGCTGTATATATAATAATATACGCTGCCTGTAGTTATATATCAGGGGATAATAATGAGAAACTTGTCGTTATTATCCCCTGGTTATTATATGCATGGGATCATAGACACACATCATCATAATGCTTGTTGTTTTCCCTTGTAGGCTGTTCGGAACAAAGTGTTCGAAATGTGCGCTCGGCTTTCAGAAGAATGACTTCGTCATGCGAGCGCGCAACAAGATCTACCACGTCGACTGCTTCCGCTGCGTCGCCTGCAGTCGGCAGCTGATTCCTGGTGACGAGTTTGCGCTCAGAGAGGATGGCTTGTTCTGCAAGGCCGACCACGACGTCGTCGAGCGAGCGCAGGCGGGCGACGCTAGCGCTCTCAGCCCCGCGTCCGACAGCAGATGCTCGCTGACGCCGCTAGGTGGTGAGTGCACGCGCTCTCGCGAGATCACGTATAGCAAGCGAACAGGGGGTGACGTCACTGTATGGATATTTGCGTGATTATGGAGATATAGAGGGAGGAGGGGGTGATAGATAACAGTATTAAATGACGGCAGAGTAATTCGGTAATGAAGAAATCAAGATATAGCGATTATCTATGTGCGGTAATATCCCAGGTGACCGGAGTAGTGAGTGTGGAGGGGGGGGGAGCGGGAGGATGGGGGCTGGCTCCATATATTAGGAGGCGTGTGTACCGTAAAGGCGGTTCGAATTATTATTCGTTGTAACGATCCACACTTCGCTAAGTTCTAACGTTGCAATTGCACCAAGTAGCCTACCCATAGGAACTCCATACCGAATGCACTGCGATTATATACAGAAATTTCTATCTCTACACCTAAAAATGTGCGTGCGTGCATGTCGCGTGCATACATACGTGCGTGCGCGTGTGCGCGCGTACGTGCGTGCCTGCGTGTGTGTGTACGTGCGTGCGTACGTGCGCGCTTGCACCTATAATTTCGATAGATATATTCGACGGGACGGGAATAGAGGTAACGCTGCGATGTCGGTGTTCGTACACGAAGTGTGTGTGTGTGTGTGTGTGTGTGTGTGTGTGTGTGTGTGTGTGTGTGTG